CCCCCCCCCCCCCCCCCCCCCCAACAAATATGGCAGCACAGTTTTCCTGTGTGCCAAGGCTTTCCCCGGAAGCTGACCCTGGTATTTTTACCCGTGGCCGTGGCCCTTTGCAGATCGTTTCTTGGGGGGCGGGCATGGACACGAGGGGGTTACGGCTCAGGGTTTCGGGGGACACCAAGGTGAACAGAACGTGGGTCCCCGCGCGCGCTTTTTTGAGCGGGGGTGGAGCCTGAGAAATAGAACAATCTGAATCTGCGTGAGGGGTGTAATTTGACGGGGGGGGGGGGCTAGGGCTGCTACGGCTACGCAAATTGACGACTCGGGTCCTTCCGAAACGTGTGCCGGTAGGTTGATTGTTATTTTACACTATGAACTGCTTGTTGTTGTTGCTGCTGCTGCTGCCGCTGCCGCTGTTGTTGAAAGTGGACCATGCGGGCGAGCTTGGCACCGTGGACACTGGTCGGTGTTTCTTCGAACCGCAAAAATTTCGATCTTGCCCGATTTGTGCCCCGAACATGTTCGAAGGCATGTCGAGCTTCGGGCGTCCCAGACACGAATTGACGGCGTTGGGCTTTTCCTCCAAAACACCCTCGGCGTGCTTCGAACCCGACCGAGCAATGAGCGGTTGTTTTTTACCGCCACCGAGGCGTTTTCTACAACCACGAAAGAGTTTTCCACCACCATGAACACGGAGTCGAACCCCACACTGCTGTGCCTTGTTTTCGTGACTCTCTCGCTTTTTTTTGTTATTTTTCCCTCCACCACTGCTGTTCGTATCTTCAGGTGTTCGAGGTGGACCAAGCGCTCGTGCTTCGCGTCAAGAGCGCCCTTCTCACGCAAGCGGCGGCGGCCGACGAAGTAGCAGCGGCGGTGGCGGGGTTTCGAGAGAGGAGGGACCGCGGTGTCGGCCAGGGGCGCGTTGTCCCTGTGGAGGCCGACCTGCGCGTGGAAGGGTGGCAGGGGGAGCTGTTCGAGGCGGGCTTCGACCCCAGCCTGCCGAGCGCGTAGATCTTGGAGGGGCTGACCATGTGAGGATGCTTGGAACGGTTGTTTGCTGTTGTTGTTTTTCGCGGCCAAGCTATTTCGGCTATAGTTTTTTGGCCGCCTGCTGTCATCGGTAGTGTATCTTTTGTGGTGGTCTGAAGGCAGGCGTGATTAGCTTGTACACTCGTCATATCAGTCAGGTGAACATGACACCACGACAGAAAAGAGAGACCGAAGATGGGACTTCACACAAGTCGACGACGTCCCAAGACATGTCTTCTACGGACCAAACCCAAACCCTTTGAAGAATCGAAGGGAAGCACCTCAGGAGGAATGTGCGGGAGGAGAATGCCGTGAGTGCTGATTGTAAGTGATGTAAAAATGAAAAGGTGAGACCCACGCATGACATTCCTCTCTGGCCTTCTTGTCGTCACGAAACAGGTACCTTGAGGAGGAAGAGCTTGTGGCATTGCTTCGGGCCCTGGCCAGTCTTTCCTCCCCTGGAAGGTGTGCTCGCCTGCCGGTTGATACCACGGGTATTTGCTGTATGCGCACCGGGGAAAATATTCCGCATGCCGGTAGATTCCACAATTGTTTTGTCCAAATTGCTGCGTGGAGGCGAAGGGCAACCTTTCCCTCCAGGAAAAGTTATACCTCCTGCTGGTAGGTTGAAGAACATGTTTTTTCGTTGTGCAAACCGCCCATGGGCGCGTTTTGAACGGGTTGGTCGCCGTTCTGGATGTGGAATGGTGTTGTGTTTCCCTCATTCGGAAGATGTCCCGCGATGGTGCGGTACGGTATACCGGTGGGAGAAAGTCCAACCGCACTGCCACACAACGCGGCCGGTTTGGGAATGGGGGACACAAACGTTCGAATCATGGGCACCAAACCGGGCACCGGGAGAGTGTGACCCCGCTGCACTACTGCGAAACCTCTAGTGGACATGATCTTGTTGGGCATTTTAGAATGATCTAGTTGCCGGCATAGATGAAGCGGAGATTTTGCACGGTATATTTAAGATCATATCGACGAATGGCTAGGCTCTTCCTCTCCTGCGCTCTATTGTGTTTCCTCTCCTCTGCCCATGGTGTTTTTTTCTCGCCTGTCCCTTTTTGTTGCAGAGCTCTCTTTGCGCTTCCCTATCCCTATTTCCTCTCGCTCAGCGACGACAATCATTACCCGTGTTGCCGAAGACCACTGGAAAGGTCACCAAATGCAGCCCTTCGCACGCACATCATGTACTAACCCCCCGGCTTCCTCCCATCAGAGCGTTCATTCTCTTACCATCCATTTGTTATTTATTTTTTTAGCGTGTTTGTTTGTGTCATTGACATCCTCCATCGCAGCGCCTTTTGCGCCACCTGCGTCTCGGCGGAGTCCGTGGAGCGGGCCTCGAACAGCGCCAGCCCCCAGATGGGCCGGTGGAAATGGGGCGGCGACTATCCCCAGGCTGTCTTCGAAGGTGACCAACCCACTCTCTGTCTTGCTTTCCATTTTGACTTTTGTATTTTATTTGTTGTTGTCATGGACGTTTGTCGTCTGCAGGACGGTTGGCTCGAGACCCGAGGACGATGAGTTTACCACGCCACCCCCCCCTTGCTGTTTTTTTTGTCTAGCGCAACCCCCATAGGGTAGCGGCCCCAAAAATCATCTTAGCCACACGTCCATCCCTTTTTGGCCGAATTGATCCTTTACTTGACCACCGTGTCTCATTTTTTTCTCCCTACTTCGTTTTTTTCATCACCCCTTCCCCCCCCCCCCCCCCTATCCACACCGGACTTGCAGCCAACTCTCCGCAAGGGTGGTCGTTCAACGGGGTGACCTGCGGTACCCCCGGAATTCCCTCAAGGGGCCGACTACGGAGTGGGTTTCGTGGGCAAGGCGGCGGCGTACGTCATAGGGTACTTTTCGTCGTCTTTGTCTTCTTCCTCCGGGGGGCGGGTTCCGGCGAGTGGTGACCCTAGCCGGGGATAGAGAGGCTTTTGGAAGAAAGTAGGAGACGTGGTTTGTGACATTTTGGCGGGGGGAGTGTTGTTGGAAGAATTGGTATGTAATGGATGCTATCATGCGTCGATACCGTTTGTAATTTTGGCGCGAATGTTGATTTCTTCGGATCCTGCTTCCGTATCTAGACATTTTTGATATGAGAGACGAGGAGGACGGGAGAGGTAGAGTTCATGGGGAGATTGAAGAAAAATGAAAACTCGGTCGTCCGAAAGCCATTGACTTGTGCTGTGTGGTGTGAGGAATCATCGTGAACAGATGGCAACTCATGCATGCGAAGCCCGGAGTTTGCCACCGCTCCAGGCGCATGAGGTTCGACTCTCGCTGCGCCATCCGGAGCGAGCCCACACAACCCGCGTATATCGCACCCATGTGAATAGAGCCGATTGCAACCGCAGGGGTTACCGGTCGGAAACATCAATTTTACTTGTTGACGGTAGAGGCCACACACACGCACACAGAGGGCGCCCCGGTCCTGACCCCCATCTCGAGCTACTAACCCTTAACCCGTACTACCGTACTACCCGTACCGTTACCCGTTACTCTTACCCGTACCGTAAACTCGTACCCGTCCCAGATATCCGCGCCAACGTATCCAGGTTGACTCAGTCTCGAGGAGCCCCCGCTAAAGGGCCCTGCAATCCACCACTCTACTTGACTAGTGAATGTCAGTAGGCTACTCCTTATAGTTAGTGTATATACATCCCCTCCCTCCCCCTCACAGTTACACCTCCAACAATTGTTGTGCGCCAATCAGCGATAAGCACAAATAGTAGTAAACTAGTGCAGTCACGCGAAACCCCCGCTACAGGGTCCCCCGAACAAAAGCTTATTCTCTAGCAGTGTGGGTCCCAATACCGGGCACACAGCGCGGAGCCGCGGCCGCGGTCTCGCTTGCGCTAAATTATTCTGTTGATAATCCAGCGAAACACAGGAGGAGTCGAAACACACAACAGTCTGTGCACCGATCGGTGTGGTACCTACTACGGTACGTCATGTAGTTCAACCTCGTCAACGGGGCCATATCGTTTATGTAGTTGAAGGGACCCAACTTACTCCCGTTCCAAGCACACCCAACACATCAGATCATTTCGCTCTCCGGATGAACTGGGCAATTCACAAGTGAAAAACACGCAGTCAAGCAGACATACATCGCAGTCGCAAGGTTGGAAAGGAAAAACTCCATACCCTGCCTTACAAAAGAAAATTCACGATTAGACACTTTAAAGAAAAAAAAGAAAGAAAAAAAATAAAATACTTGAAAAAAAAGATAAAATACTTCAAAGCAACAAAGTCAGCAAAGAAATGCTACATTCTCGAATGCTTAGGATAGACGTGAAGTGAAGCGCGGCGAACGCACCGGAGGGGGGCAAGAGAATTGAACAACCAATTTTCGTCCCTCGGGTCAAGCGGCGACCGCTGTTCCACGCGCTGCTATCTACCGCTACCACCGCGCAAAGACTGAACTACAAGCATCAGTTTGATACAGCGGAAATAATCCAATCCGAGGAGCACGTCATGAGCAATCAACCATACATAAGGTTCACCGACTCCTACATGTACGTAGAAGACTGTTCCGTGAAAAGTTGCACCAAAAAAAGGTTGCGACTATCTCCAGTTGTTTTGGGCCGCGATGCCCGTGTTTGGACTATGCATACTATGGAGGTACCCGCCGTTCATCTAGACAGACAACGTGTGCTCTTCTGGCGCACCCCACAACTTCATTGTGTCTGTCGACGCTTCCCTCGCTCTCGCCTCCTTCTTGGCCGCGGTCCTACTCCCTCTCGCTCTAGCTATCGTCGTTGTCGTCGTCCTCATCGTGCATCATCTCGAAGCACGGACACACCAACGACGACAATGTCGCCGACACCGCCCTCACCGCCCGGCAGATCCCCCCCGACGCCGGGCTCGGCGAACGGACAGACCGGAACCACGTGGCGAAGGCGTTCGTCAGCGACGGAGCCGCGGCGTCGTCACCGCCGCCACCGCCGTCACCGCCGCGGGCCCCCTTCTGGTGTTGTCGACGGCGACGGGGACCGGGGCGGGCGCGTCCAAGACTGCGGCAGCAGCGGCAGCGGCAGCGGCGGCAGCAGCGGCAGCAGCGGGAGCAGCGGCAGCAGTGGCAGCAGCACCCGTCAACGCTCCCTCCCGCAGCACGGGGCCGACGACGAACAGCCACGCCGCGGAATCCCCGAGGTTGACTTGCTCGGGTGGCGGGGACGGCGGGGACGGCGGGGACGGGGGGGACGGTAGGGACGGTGGGGGCGGCGGCGGTGGCGACGCCGCCTCTTCGTCCGCGGCTGGCACTCCATCCCAAACCGATGCGGTCGGGAGAGAAGGCAGACGGCAGTCCGGCGGCGCCGTGCCCCGGCCACTGCTGCTGCTGCTGCTGCTGCCGCTGCTGCTGCTGCTGCTGCTGCCACGTGTGGCTGTCCGGTACAGGTGCAGAACGCGGCAGCGACTCGGATGGCGTGGACGGCCAGGACGGCGGTGATCGCGACGACGGCGGCGGCGGGCGTGGTGGCGACGACGGTGCGCGGGGTGGCGACGACCACGAGCGGAAGATCGAGTTCTGCCTGTCGAAGAGACCGTGGAAGGAGTCCGACACGATGCCGTCGAAAACGCCCGTGTCCCTGGACGGCGGCGGTTGAATCGCAGCGTCGAACTGCACGGACGGAGTGGACGTGGGTGGGGGGGGTGCGGAACGGTGGGAAGGTTCGAGAGGAGGGGGACAAGCAGGTTGTTGTTGAAGATACGACTTTATTGGAACTATCCCGACGGTCGGGGCTTGGTACGACGCCGAACCGTCTAGCCGACAATCATATTCAGAAAATAAAACAACACCCACGACGCTCGACGCTGTACTCAAAAACCACGAACGCACCGTTACAGAGGTATTGTTGAAGTAACAAATCAAATACTAAAAGGCTACTTCTTACCATGGCCAAGGAGTCCGCAGCCTGCCCTCCGCCTCCAACGCCGCCGCCGTAGCTGTAGACACCGCCACCACCGCTGGCGTCACCCCCGCCTCCACCAACTCCCGGCGGTGACGCCGCTCCCCCTAATCCCGCCGCCGCCGGCGAGGGGATCCCTGCGTGAGACACGGAGCTTTCCATGGTCACCGTCTCACTGGCGATGTACGTACAGCTGTACCCGACCGCCATGGATGCGGCAGCTGCTTCCGGACTGCCGGCATACACCTCCCCGCCGATCATCCCGCTGCCCTCGGCCTCCCTGTTGGCCCCCGCGGCCTCGATGTCCACGGGCTCAAGGAGGGATAAAAGTATCGTCTCCCTCATAAGTCGTTCCTGAACGACAGGGTCTCCTAGGCTCTCCAGCCCCGTAGGAGCAGCGGGCAAAGGGAACGGCGGCGGTGACTCATCGTGGGACAAGCCGTCGACCCCACCGGTCTGGTCGTTGTCGGCGGTGCTGTTCACACCGGCTTCTGGTTGTTATCGATGGCAACGTCAATATCGACGGAAAATACAGGGTCCAGGAACAGGGGGTGAGAAACAGAGGCCTTGCCAACCAAAAACGCGACGTCCATCGGGGGGGGGGGGGGGGTCTGCGGAGCATTCAATCCCCTCGTGATTGAGGTGGTCAATATTCGGGGTATCGATGGAGCGCGTACTATTGTACTAGGGTAACCTGCATGGCAGCTTCGACGGCGCCCCGTTGTTCAGGGCAGCAGGCGCCATTAAAACACGCATCGATCGCTCCCCGGCGAACAACACACGGAATGAATACCAAGAGGACTGCATGATGTTTCGATTCGAAAATACAAAACTACATCGTATCGCCAGCAGCTAAGTATGACGCCGACAAGGATAGACAGGACACAAGACGAAGGGAAGTTGCCGTAAACAACATAATGGTATCTGCGCATGTATTGCCGACCCCCTCGACACCATCTATCCTGGGGCATAGCAACCAACCAAACGGGCAAATCATGGGTGGGGGGGGCACGCGATTTTGGCGAAAAATTACACTCAAGGCAAAAGTCAGCGAGCGGCAGCGGGTCTCTAAACCCCGGCTGGTTGGTTGTGCATTGAAGTTTTGGGTGGATCGGCCGCGTTGTTGCGGAAACCAAGGAGTAGCTCACCTTCTCTCTGGGGTACACGAGGAGTCTCCCACTTGTTCGTGTTCCCGAGGTCCGGGAAAGAAGAACATGGAGTCGATGGCTCCGTTCCGGGGTCAACCGGCGATCTCGCCGCCTTCACCGAATGCCGTCCAAGCCGGCCGTTCGGGAGCCCCCCGAAAACTCTTCCCACAAGCCTGTTGAAGTTGAAGGGGGTGGGTGGGGAAGGTCACAACATTGGTGTCAGCAATCAAGATATCCATCCAAGGCAAGCAGTGCTTCCCACGTGGAAGAAATACTATGGCACTCCTCGATTGTTCCGAAACCCGTACATAGCATAGAACAGGTTTTCTTGCCAGTACCCCGCTATATTTGAGCGATGGCTAGGTCGGCCGTTGGGCAGGCCTCCGAACACACGACCCACAAGCCTGTCAGAAGTTGGGGGGGGTCGGTGCGTCTGAAGACCTCCCCAACGGCTGGCTAGAATGGCGTTCGATCGAAGCGGGAGGATGGGTGGCAAACTCTGTTATGTCAGCAATAGAAATATCCATTCACGGTAAGTAGTCCTTCTCATCTTGAAGAAATACCATCGCACTCCTCGATTGTTACAGAACGGCCGGTGCCACTGAAGCTTCACAGCAAAGTTTCCAACACTATATTACGAACCAGTTCTCCCGCCAGCAACCCTTTTTTTCCATGCGACCGCTGTATGTGTGGTCTGTCTACGTGTGCCATTTTTGCCCCTCCCCGTAGTCCACGCTTCTAGGTTTTAGCCCAAGAATGTGCACAAATTGCGTAGCGTTTACCCCGGGGCGCGAGAAACAACATGAACTGCATGCCTTTGCCCGAGTTGGTGTTGGCCCGGGGCTTGCCTGCTTTTGGCGTGTGGCCGCGGGCATGCGTCGTTGTCTTTTAGGCGTGTTTACCAACAAAGTGCGGGTTGGGGTGCTTGTTTGTTGTATTTGAGCCTAAGTTTGCCCATCCACGTTTATTTTGTGGCATGTAACGGAAGCAGGAGACCCTGTCATGTATTCCTGCAGTCTATCACGTGTTGTATATTACAACATCACAGACCTCCAGTCGGAAATATGTGCAACACATGATACAGTACATATTCGACACATGAACATATTTCGGCACATATATATACATCTCACATCTCTTTCTAGATATACGAGATGCAAAGCCCAGGGCTAAACGGATCACGCCAAATGGTACATATCACCCCCACCCCCCCGCGGCTGCCTCCTGACAGTAGGGTCAATTGGTTGTGTGTATGGCACAACCCTGCCCCACGATCTGCTCCACTTGGATCGTCGAGAGCATCTTATCAGGTAGAAGAGGCTTTCTTGTTGCACCCGGCAGTTGGCACGAAGATGGATCTCACCAACATCGTGTCCTACTGGGCATCTGATCTCACATCGATCTGAAGGAGAAGCAGGCAGGCGTGGATGCACGCACAGCAGTTTGACAAAACCTACACGTGGGGAAGAACAGCGCCGTAAGCGAAGTGAACCAGTACGAGCATCCTAGCGCCTTATCAATCTCTGCCTCTACCGAGACTAAATTCGAAGCCTGCAGCAAGAAAGAGTCTCAACACTCACATGTCCCTCGGCTCCTCCTGGGTATCCCACCCGCCGTCACCAGTTTCGACGATGACCACCATAGTTGACGATGTGGCTACAGTCGATGTGCTTGCTCCTACTGTATGTACTCCGATGCTGCGAGGTGATGCTGCCCAATCTTGACGTGATGGGCTTGATACTCAATCCGGCAGGGAGCTGAAGGGCTATCCTGTCGGGTCGGTCCGACTCCTCCCTTGTCTGAACCAGACGCTTAGGTCTGCAACCAAACAGCCCACCCGTCGCGCTGCCAAAAGTTGCCTCAGGAAGCCCACGCCGACCGTATAGACGAAGTGCCGCGACGTTTGTAGGTGCGCTACGGTCGTGAGGCTTCCTGCTCCCCTCTGCTGCTGCTGTCCTATTCCTTTGGCTGCCTCCGCCTCGTCTGCTTGTCTGTTCTCGGTTTAATCCACCAACTGAAATCCTCAACGGAGCTGAGTTCGCTCTCTTTTCTCTTGGCTGAGGCGTGGACGGACGGGAGATGCGACGAGAGGTTGATTCCTCGCGTGCCAACAGTAAGAAGAAGCGATCGTGCGGTAGTCTGATCTGGGTCGTGTATTCACCACCCTGTCTCTGCTCGCGCGCCTCGCTCCTGCTGAATGCCTCGTGAGATTGTGTGAGCGTCATGGGCGGGGGCCCAGGCCCCCAAGATCCTCCACTTGAAAATGAACGGCAAGAGGAAGAGGCGTTCTTGCCTCAGAGCGGGGCTACGGTACAGTCCCGCCGCCGCATGGGTCATTTGGGAGGCCTCTATTACACCCGCCGCCAGCGCCGTAGCTCCACGATTCTCCCATCTCTCAAGATGATGTGTGTCTAGGCTGGAGACACCGAGCACGCAGAAAACACCAAGCAAGGGGAGAGAGGGCGGAAACGGGGCATGGTGAGAGGCGGAACCTTGATGTATCCAACGGGCAAACTTGGACGAGTCGACAACATCAACGTTGACCGGTAGGCAATGGACATGCTGCGGACAGCTTTTTTCTCATCTCGGCATACATTTATCTACATATATATGTTCCACAGCTGGATGCGAGGTCTTGTTGTGCATGTTATACGACATGATGCCTTGTTCTCTACGTCAGATGGCGGGAGTTGTACTCACGACACTGTGCATCGGTCTGGAGATCTCAAACTTGGCCGTTTGGAGATCTCAAACTTGGCCGTTTTTTACCGGCCGGACAAGGCTCGCGCAGCACACCGAAGCGCCGCCGTGATTTGAACTTGGAAGGCGAACTTTCAGCCAGTGGGGTGTTTGGTATCTTGTGCCGCAATGACACCGTTACGTACTAATGACAGGCTCTGGTGATTTTGATATGTGGCATGGTGCGAGAGAGGCACTCACGAGACAGCTATGCGTATCTGCACGACATGTCCTGCTGTACACTGCTGTTGCTGCAGTTCAGCGGTGATCTTGATTCGACCACCGTTCATGGAGAAAGATTCGATTACAAGGCACGAATGGTGCCAAACTGGAAACATGCACGTGTCCCTTGTCTGGCTCCGGGGGGCGTGCTTTTCAACGCGTTGCGACCGAGCTCTACTGTACTCCCCTGGGTGGGTGGCTCTCGGCCAGACAGCATTCATTCACACTGGTTCGTGTTGCGACCTATGTGTGTGTGTGGTCGTGTCTACAAAAACGTGTTTACACTACAGATCCGGTTCTTCTTGGTTCATATTTTTAGACATTTTTAGAACATAGTCATCGGAGACCCTCCGCAGAGTGTACTCGTAAGAGGACCGTGTCTTTTAGGGCAACGGTCATGCAAGACGAAAATAGAAGGGAGGCAGCAGGACCAGCCCATAGCTGTCTCCCAGCGGCCAGTGTGACAGTCCCCGGGCTCAAACAGCTTATTACACGGCTGGCGTATTTCGACTCCAAGAGCCGACGGGCTTTACAAACCTGTACCCACCTGCCATACAACAGCAGTTGTCGCAAAAACTCTCTCCTTTTTTTTGTTTGCGCTGTAACGGTCCTCAGGAATCAGTCATGTTTTCATCGTTGTTCTAGCTGGTTGGTGGGCGTGGGTCTCGCATGTACAAGGTTTCCTCGCTGTCTACCGTAGCGTGACACGGTATGATTTCGGCCCTTGTTGCGGCATTATCGGCGATGCCGACATTTTGAGCCACGCACGTATGTCATGGGCTCATCCCTCATGGGCTCATCCCTGACGTTTTTGCGGATTTCACGGTCTTTGTATTGTGCGTGTCCGAACCTACTACAGTAAATAATGGAAAAAAAATGACGACGATGACCCAAAACTTTCCCTCCCAAAAGCTGCCTCATTAGGGCGCCGAACGTGTAGGCGAAACGCCCCCACGGCTACCCATTCCAAGTTTAGATATTGTCACCCCCTGCCCTTGGCAGAAACAACAAACCATTGGAATCGTCCACCGCATACCCTCCGCGTGCGCTGCTGTGCCCCCGGGGCTCAAGCAATCTCTACGGTACGCGGGGCAAATTCATGAAAACGTCATGACAGTATAGTGACTTCCTTCGCTACTACTTTGTCACGGATATCGGTCATGATTAAATGAGCATCTCTCTCTGGTACTGCATCTGCCTGGCGCCTTGGGTTAGCGGCGCGCGCGGCGAGGAGTAACATACTTGGCTCGCGCTAAGCACGGGTGCAGTGGTGCTATGGCATTTACTTATACAAGGAGCGTCGGTGCGCTAAAATCGCGGGCACCTTTTCTCTAAATGGAAGGGCACCGTGTATCCCGCCTTGGCCTCTAGACCAAACCCCACTAAACTCCACGGCGGCCGGGCCTTTCACAGTCTTCCACTACAACTCTTTTATACATCATGAATCGACTATTCTCTCCACGCAACAGGCACAGGATTCGACAAAAACAGAGAAAACAAGCCCAAGGGCCATTGAAATCGAAACGCGCTACACCCATCCAGGAGCCGTCTCTCGTATACAAGTTTCCTCGCTCTGTATTGCCCAGCCGATATTCCAACCGCCCTTTCTCGTCCCTTCTCTGTAACACGCGAGCAAAAGGCCAACCCGAGCACAACCTCGCTCACTCTCGCACAGGGGATGGCTGCAAGTGAACAGGACAATCAGTGCGGCGAGAGAGGTGACAACAACGTGAGGGCACGCGTCGTCGTGTCATCGCCGCCGCCTCCGTCTTCGCGCCCGGAAGTGTAGCCGGTCCTCCAAGATGTCGAGCACGGTGTGCAGCATGTTCCCCATCCCGGGGCCGAAGTATGTGTCGAAGACCTCGAGAGCGGTCACCTGTGGACGGTTTCAGTCGAAAGGGAGCCAAGAAAAGCTTGTTTATATATTGTGTTAGAAAACATATATACAATCTCAGAAGGACTACCCGTTTGAGATAAATACTGTACCACGCAGTCGAACGGGGGACGTGTTGAAGTCTTGACGCCAGCGAGTGGTGAGTCTTTGCCGGAGTGGGAATTTTCTTTCCCTTAAGTTTCGCCGATTCCACCGAACCAAACCTCAGCACGCGGTGAAACAGCCAGGCGCGGTAATTCCCGATGAGTGGGTCCCGACAAGTTGCTTTTGGCAGTAGCGCTACTCGTGCGAGGGAGAACGGCGATGGGAGGGGCCAGGCCTCCCTCCCTGTGCTTGTCGAGAAGATGAACTGTTTTGTTAACCTTCGAACCCGAACAACAACAACAACAACAACAACAACAACAACAACAACCCCTCATCACAATTGCTCCACGTATACCTGCATCTGCGCCAGCTTCTTGTCAGGGACAGCTCTCAAGGTTTCCAAAATTCGCGGCGCCTCCTCCGGCGGGAAAGAAAACGAAAACTCCGACCAAGGAACTTGCCCCGGGAACGGCTTGACGAAGTCCTGGGAGTTGCAATGTTTGAAGGCAGCGGGGGTCGGAGAGTGTACTTGTTCTATGCCTCAGCCACGTCCTCCGCTCTTTGGTGTCTCTCAGTCGTTATTGTTTGTTGGTGCTTCGATGGTGAGGAGAAAGGGCGAAAGTTCCAGTCCGCGTCCAACGACGGTTTAAGCGGTAAAACGGTACACTCAGATAGAATTCCAAGCGTGTCTACTTAGTCTCAGGTTCAATTGGCGTGAAAGTCTCATGAACCTCGCTAGTTCCACTATTTAGGACACGGCCCGATCGGATGGCACCAGCTTTTGAAGTTTCCTCTAAAAAAAAAAAAAAGCCATGAGACAGGACTTTGAGCGCGAAACTCGGAAAACGCGCGGCAGTCAGTACCCAAAGTCAAGACACAAACCACCTGCTGGCCCTCGAGGCCGACCTTGAGTGCCTGGTGTCCCCAGCGGTGTGTGTCGGCAAGCAACGCGCCGTGCCGCGGCCGGCCTCCGTGTGGCTTCGCTTTTAGTTAGTTAGCGCACCTGGTGGATGAAGACGGGAAGGGCGCCCGCCGACAGCGCCTCCGCTAGGCGGTAGGTCGCCGGGGACCGGCCGGCCGGCAGCAGCGCGAAGGTGGTGTTCATGAGGTCCTCGTAGCTGACGCTGTCGAAGTCCCGCTCGGAGGCGTCGCACAGACCCTTGTTCCACGACAGCAGCTTTGGTTCCGGCGCGCGCGTGTGGATGTTGGCGATGAATGCGATGACGTCACGAGTGAAACCGCGTGAAAGAGGTTGACGGCGTGAGTGCGGCAAGCTTGTACGTACGCTTCGGAGCTTGTTCGGAGAAGCATGTGGACGATGGCGGAAGTCTCTCGGAGAACAAGAACAGAACTACAATAAAACCAAGTCAGACGGCTACCTACGGTCACGCGAAACAGCTTCTTTCTGGCGAGAGGCGTACCCATCGTACCCTATCCTAGTCCGACAAGCCCAAAACCAAAACTTTCGGACTCAACAACACCTATAATCTGTTTTTTTTTTTTTCTTTTTTCAAACTGTGCTCGACGTGCAGGCTCAGCAAAGACTGCTGTGTCACACCGTCGGTTTGTGCAGGTCGTGGTGAATTCGCTTTCGTGGCGTGCGATGTCTTGCTTTCCGCACATACATACATTGGACACGTGTTTTGACCTTTATCCCGTATATCGTCGTCCGCACCAACCCCAACTTGATCGAAACTGGTTTCTGTTGTCGCAGAGGTTGGTGTTGTATCACGGAAAACAGCTTTCTGAACTCCACCCCGCACCTCCCCTTCCGCACTCTCCGAACGGGCACATTAAGACGAGACACACGAGCTTTCTGCGGTCACAATCGGTAGGAAAAGCACCACATGGCGCATTCCGTCACATGTGCCCCTCGCTCGTGCAGGCCACGGTGAAATGAAAGAACCTCTTTTAATCAACGCCTTGGTAGATGGCGAAAGCACTACAGCAACTCGCACCTGCTCGTGGTGAAGGTGGTGACACCGCTCGACCACCACCACATCGGAGGAGGAAGAAGAACCGTCACCGCCGCCGCTCGCGCCCGCCGCCTTGTCGAGTGCTCCGGCCGCGGCGGCGGTTGCTGAGGCGCCCCCGCCCCTGAGGTTAAGCACCGCGCTCCGCTCCAACATGCCGTTCCCGGTCAGGTACAGGCTGCCCTGAAGTGTGATGAGGTGTTGTTCGGTGCGGTGCATGGGGTCGAGCAAGATTCATAAGCGAGGTTTCGTCTCTCCTCGGTTGGTGTTGCTGGTCTTTGGTAATGGCCGTTTGGCGCAGCAGGAAATACCACCAGCCCAACAAGGTAGAGGAACAAGGGACATGAACGGAGACAAGAAGAAAATACGTCACCAAACAATAAATTCGAGAGTGCCCTTGCTACTGCATCGGGTGGTGCTGCAGTATGTTTCAGCTCCCCCCCCCCACCCCCCCCACCTTGGAGTCGAAATCTCAAGACCTGGGGCAAACCCCTGTGTCGTCGGGATAGCCAGCGCTAACATCGGTAACCCACGCGCCAGCGGCTCGGGCAACTTGCGGGGCTGTTGCCCGGTACGATGCCGCTTAGCATGCAACGTGCAGTGGGAGCTGCCTGTGGCATGAAAGTAATGTTAGCGTGAATGCTCGCTGGGTTGTCTACTGCCCGGGAGTGAGACACAATGCATACACCTTTTTCCTGTGAAAATCTCCTGCTTTTTTCGAACTTTGGGGAGCATTTTGGGGTGTCGAGGAAGGACAACTTCATTCCCAGTCCGCATTAGAGCGAGGCTCAGGGTTGCAAACTACTATTAACTCGGACGATAAACCATTCAGGGAAAACCTGAACCACAAACACCCAAACAACAAGAACTCGAACAGGGGTCAAGACCCCGTGTTAAACCGGAACCCATTGTGTAGCGGCCTCGAGAGCATCAATCCCTCGACTAACGTTTTCAATCACAACAACGTTCCAAGTCTCCCAAGGACCGACGTTTCTTCTCCCTCTTGGACACAAACGCGATTGCCAATTCCACCACCCTAAGGGCAAAACCTTAGCTCGCCTTGAAGGTGGCGAAGTACTTGCGGTCCCGCGGAGAAATCTTCCTCAGGCTGTGGAAGAGCTTGCGGGCGCGAAGGGGCACCGCGACGTCGTACCCGTGGCGGTAGTAGCACGGCCGCATGTTGGACTGAACGAACATCGCCTTCACGTCCAGGGAGCGGCGCGCCTCACTACCACCCCCCCCCCCCCCCCGCCCACCCCAACCGGTCGAAAGCATGGGCGCACGATTCGACCATCGCACAATCCCGGAGCGTTTTCAGGTCATGTGGTTTTCGAGTCAAGGGTCGTGCTGGCAACATGTTTAGCTAAACCTAACACATGAAAGGTTGGAACACTAGGGTACAAGTTTTGTTGGGTACTCGCGCCGGAGGAGTCTCTCTTCACTGATGCTGTACCCTTGCTTGCGGACACCAACCACAAACACGAAGCACTTCAAAGCCGGCGAGTCCAGCAGATCAGGCCAAAATCTCCAGACACGAATCGTTTCCGCTGCAGCGCTATGGGGGTACTCTGATATCGCGGCACCCTGAATAGCGTACTCTCCAGTCCTCGATAGCGGCGATACCAAACATGAAAATAGCAAAGACCTTCTACCTCTGTCCACAACTCTCCACGCGTCTGCACCCTCGCCACGGTGGCTGCCACCACCATCACCGCCCCCACCTTTCAGCTCATTTGCCAGCATTGGCGGATGGAGAGTTGTTGTGCAAACGTCAACAAACAGGACAGGCAACTGAAACAGACCGAGACCAACCCTTCCGAAGATGAGCTAGAGCTGGGCAGGTTGGTAGCGCGGGGGGGGTGGGGGGTCGATGGCACCGCCGTCGTAACATGCTACTACTGCCGTGGCGTTTGTACATCCTCGGGTAACCGACGACGAGTCGTGTGGCTTTCGCGAGGCTGGGTCGTTTCTTGGCAAGGAAAACAAGGTCTACACGGCAGCGCTAAACCCGACGTGGTAGTTGGGCATCAAGGGCGTGCACTCAAGTCAATGTTGCGCGTGTTCACTCTTCACTCAGTAAATCGCCTCGAAGTTGTAGGATTTCTTCGCGCACGGGAGGCGGGGGGGATTCTGACGGTTGATGTGTGGCATGAAAACAAAAACAAACATCAATACTGCGAAGCCGTAACGCTACACGTGAGCGGGTGGCGGGCCTTGCCTCCAGCTGCATCAGATCATCCGAAGACGCCACGATGCTTTCACACCACAGCAGACGCAAACGCCACACACACGCCGTGTCCGTTGCCCGTAAGGGGGTCCCGTCCGTTTTCCCGCTAGGGGGGATTACTTCTTCTCTCGGTCGATCTCTCACCGGCTCTGGTCGTTCAAGTCCAGCAGGACGTGGTTTTGCCCCCCCCCCCAGGTGGGCGTCTTCGACACGCACTCCCCTCTCTCAGGCACCGCGTAGAAGACGATACACGCCTCGTCGGGGGTGTCCATGAGCAGATCTCTGTCCGGGGTTCGTTCCGGGTTTGGCACCAATCAAAAGCACCCGTGGGTTGCGTCTCGAGAAACGGGAAGCTGTAACAAAGTTGGCTGTAACCGCAAGGCGCTCTGTGTTCGGTGTGCCCTCGGCAGGAGGAGTGCTCGTTGGCTCAATGTACATGATGGAATATTGACAATAAATTAGCTGGGGCGTAGAACACAAGGTAGCTCTTGGGGTAGTTTTTCATTGCATTTGGGGTAGCCCAGACTCGGTTAGTATCAGGATTACTATATATATAGCACGACCGAGAACATGCTTGCTCGCAGTGAGAAACAAACGCAGACCCTTGGGATAGGGCAGGAGATAGACTACCGCTTGGCGCACGGTGTACAGCATTGGCCATTGAACTGGCCATTCTTTTGTCTGCTCGATTTCTCGACGGTGGGAAACAGAAAAATGTTGTCGACGAGGACGGCTATGGAAAGATTTTCAGCCGCAAACACAAGCGACTCCCTGTCTGTCTGTCTGGTCGTCTGCTTCTCTCTCTCTCTCTCTCTCTCTCTCTCTCTCTCTCTCTCTCTCTCTCTCTCTCTCTCTCTCTCTCTCTCTCCCCCCCCCCCTCTCTTTATCTCTCTCCTTCTT